TCAGTGGTAAAGTGTTCCTGGATTTAATCCCTGGCAAGGTGGGAGAGAAACTATGGGGGGCACCCTGCTTACACAGGAGGCCCTAAAAAGTCATTTCTACTGGATTTATTTCACAGTGTTCATTTGCAAAAAGCTGACCAAGAACTATCAAACAATAATTTTTTCTCATAGATCCTTCTAAAATAAATTCTGGATCTTTCTGTAAATGAGAGCTTAACACAAATATTCTGAACACAGGGTGCCTTTAGAATCACCCGAAGAGCTTGTAAAGAACACTTATGTCTAGACCCATTAAAGAATCTCTGGAGTAGAGCTCGAGCAACTGCATAGATTTTTTTTAAATCATCTCCTGATTAATCCCAAACATAGTGAAGTTTGAAAATCGTTAGCTTACTCAATACTTTTATACCCTATTGCATGGCCAAACCAGCTCTTCATTTCCTCAAGGACTCCATTGGGGATGGTGAAATAGTTTTTTATTCCACCAAGCTGCACTTCCCAGAGTTTGGACATCATCTTAGAAAAGCAAAGTTAGCATGGCTACTAGTGTCTTAACCTGTTTGGGAGGGGGGGGGGGAAACTACCTTCATAGCATGCAATCATTTCCTAAAAAGCATGCCATTAAGTTTAAGCAAGTGAGTGTAGAAGAGGAAACACAAGCTTCTGGAAGTAAACTGGCTTATGTTTGTCTAATGCAAACATGTGTTGCAGACCTATCTGATATCCTTCTGCCTTAATCTCCCCTCTAATAGCATGCAAAGGTCTTTCTTGGGCTCCCAGTACCACCATGTGATCCCCAAACTAAAACCAAGTTAAAATCTAAAGATAGTGATAAAACAGTAAATATATGCATCCTCCCAACAGAAACAACCAGTCTGCTTGCCCAGAGGGCAAGTGTTCATGTATCAGGAGAAAGGAATGAAAGGAGAGGAAATAAAATGTCATCTGCCCAGCTTGGTCCCCGTGCCTTCTGCACTAAATAAACAGTCATTTGAATCACTTTGGTTCTTTTTTATTCTACAGAATGGTAAAGATCAGCTCTGTACTGTTTTTAGGGCTGGGGTTGCATAAAACTGCATTTTGTCAGTTTAAATAAGTCATCTTCAATGAGTGTTTTTTGTGGGGTTTTTTTGTTGTTGTTTTGTTTTGGTTTTTGTTTTTTTGTTTTTTTGTTTTTTTTGGTTTTTTTTTTTTACAAACCTAGGTATCAAATAGAGCTGAAGAAAGCAGGGGGCGGGGGTTAAAGGGCTCATTTGTGATGTTTGCCTTCAGTAACAGGAGAGGGAAAGCAGAACACCCAGGGCTGGGTGATGCAGGCAATCAAGGCACAGGATTAACACTAAGCTGAAGGAGGAGGCAGGGACACAGGTTAGATCCAATGTGCCAGTGTATTAATGTAAGCTCTCTGAGAAGCAGCAATGAACAGAGACTAAGGCATCAGGATCCAAAAAAAAAAAAAAAAAGCAATTACAAATAGAAAAAATAATTAAAATAATTCTTATACTTTGAAATAAAAAACAAAGCGTGTGCTAGGAACATTGAATTTCTCTGTAAGTCATAGCTGGGATCATCTTGATACTGATGAAAGGATGTGTGTCAAATGATGGCCTTAGATTCTGACATCTGATTTTTATTCCTATAGACCTCTTGTTTCTGCACATTTCACAGCATACAGAAGATTCAACTGTAACACCCCCATACTTGCCTTCCTCCCCTTCCATCTAAGGTTTGGCCCATCTTCGAATGACAAAGAGAGCCCTGAGAGGTGAGAGCTCCCCACCCCGTGACCCTTTTCAGCCCAGCGTGGGCTGGAGTCAGGGAGGGGGCAGGCTCACCCCCATCAGAGACAGAGTGGCCTAATCAGGAGCCTCAGCCATTTTCCCAGGTGGAAAACTCTGGTGATTAGCCAGATTGTAAGCAGAGATAGGGATCCTCTGGCCAAGGTTTCTTAACCTCAAGGTTTCTTAACCTTTCATTTGCATATTCACCAACAAAGATTCTCATTGTTAAGAAGCTGCCTGAAACCTTTTTATATGCATTTAAACAAAGCGCTGGTTGCTTTCTCTAATCCCTAGGAGGAAGATAGAGAACCAAAGGGTTAGTAAAGTCTTAATACATGCTAGGCCCCTTACAAAAACAGCCATTTAAATCCCTGTTATTTTGGATCCAGTGAGGTCAACCTTATTAATTTTGATTTATAGAGATGGGGAAATGAAGCCACAAAGAGGGGACATAATTTTTCCAAGATCACACAGCACCCAGCGGTGGAGGCATATTTCAAACCTGGCTCTAGAATCCTTGCTGTTGGTCTCTGTGCCACACAACCTCCTTCTCTACTCTTCTTTTGGCCCATCATTTTCTTATTCCCTTCTTTCCTTTGAAGAGAGGTTTTACCAGGCACTGCATCTTCCTGTCCCTCTCTCCTAATTCCCAGTGACAGGGCAGTTGTGGCAGACAGAGCCCCACTCCCCACCGTGGGGCCTCAGTAAGCACTTGGGAATCTCTAAACAATTTCAGCCTGATGACATTTTATAACCAGAAGGAAGAGTAAGCTGGGACTATCTTCTGATATTTCAGTCTTGCATCTCTCCTCTGGCTGTCTTATGTTCTTATGATGATATGATTCCAGTCCATCTTAGATCTCCAGGGCTCTGGAACAAGGGAGGGCAGGTTTGAAATGCATTGTGGTCCTTGTGCTGGTGAGTTCTGTTTTCACATTTGAATAAGGATAACGACGGACTCTGATGAACAGCACAAGAAAGAATATAAGCAAGGGTCTTAGTGTGGTGGCTGGCTCACAAAAGGCACCTCAGCAAATGCTCCTCTTCTTTCCTCCTCCCTGGAGTGGAGCACAAGTGCAGAATTGTGTGCCTGTCACCTCACAGCAGTCACATGGCACATTTTGTGGGGCTGGTGAGGGTGCTGAGCAGATGCCAGTGGCCCTCTAGCTGAGGCAAGTTCTTTGCCCTTATTTCTGGTTGCAGAGGCCCAGATCCAGATGACCACCTCAGAGACTTCACTGGTAAATGTGATTAAAAACTGGAGGTGAATGGTGGGGAACAGAGGGCTGGGGAGGTAACTCAGTGGAAGAACCCTTGCTTAGAATGTGCTTGCTGAGGCTGGTATGGGATATGTGAGCCTCCTGCCTCAGCCTCTGAGTGGATGGCATCATGGTGCACCGCCACATCCTGCTTAGTTTTTAATTCAACCAAATACACTCAAGTTTGTCTCCACTGCTTATTAGCTATTTATTATTGGGTATGTTATTTCACCTCTCTGAGCCTCAGGCTCAAATGTTTTCTGACATCTATGGAGTTGCTACCACATAGCAGACATTTTATGCTCACTTATCATATATATTTCTTACATAAAAGGGCTTACATACATAAGCACTCTGCAAGATGTTACTACATCCTACTTATATTTTATGCCACTGCTTATTTATTTGGTTAATGAATACCTTCTTTTATTTTTTAAAATAAATTTTTTAGTTATACCCACCAGTAGAATGTATTTTGACATACACACATGGAGTCTACCTTATTCTAATTAGGATGAACAAATATCTTCCGAGCCATGTGCTCAATGACTTCATATGTTTGTGTTCAAAAAACAAATCAGTTCCCTCCTCCTTCTGCTTAACTCACCCCACTGTCACCACAGAGTTCAACGATTACATTGAATCACATAAAATTTCAGATTTCAAAAATAAAAAAAAAATGGTCAAACACATGCAGAAATAGAAACAACGTCGCTGAAATTCATTTGGAATCTCAAGCAGCCCCAATTTTCCAAAACATTTTTGAAAAAGAAAAACAGGTTAGAAGACTCACACTTTCTGGCTTCAAAACTTACCGCCAAGTTACAGTAATCAAAACAGAGGGGTATTAACATAAAGATAGACCCATAAACCAATGGGACAGAAGAAACAGTCCAGACATAGGATGAGGAGATAATTGGCAAGGGGGCTGAGATCATCCAATGGGAAAGGACAGATGGTGCCAGGAAAAGTGAATATCCTCATGCAAAAGACTGAAGTTGGACCCTAGTCCAATACTATACAGAAAATGAACCCAAAATGCGCCAAACACCCGAATGTAAGATTTAAGCCATAAAACTTTTAGAAGAAAACGCAGGGCAAAAACTTCACAGAAATTGGTTTCAGTAGTGATTTTTTTTTGGGGGGGGGGTATGGAAATCAATGGCACAAGCAACAAGAGAAAAAAAAACAGACAAATCGGACTTTCTGAGAAATTTTAAATTTTATTCATCAGAAGACGCTTTCAACGGAGTTAAAAGGCAATCCACAGGAGGGAGAACTACTTGCGAATCATACATCTGATAAGGCATCAATAACCAGAATATATAGAGAAATCTTAAAACTCAGCAACAACAACAACAACAACAACAAAAACAGATAATGCAATCTACAGGCAGGGGACTTGAATAGACATTTCTACAAAGAAGATCTACAAATGGTCAATAAGCACATGTAAAGATGTTTACCACCAATAATCATTAAAGAGATGCAAATCAAAGCAATGGGATACCACTTAATATCCAGGGGTGGTCACTACTGAAAAAACAAAAATCAGATGTTGGTGAGGATATGGAGAAATTGGAACCCTGGGCACCACTGGTGGGAATGTAAAATAGTATACCTGCTGGGAAACAGTATGGGGCTCCTCAAAAAATTAAAAACGGAATTACCATTTGATGCAGCAATTCCACTTCTGAGTGTATATGAAAAAAAAAACTGAAAGGAGAGTCTCAAAGAGACATTTGTACACTCATGTTCAGTAGCATTATTCCCAATAGCTAAAACATAGGAGCAACCTGTGTGTATATCAACAAAGGAATGAAATAGCTAAATGCGGTGTATACATACGATGGAAAACTATTCAGCTTTATAAAGGAAGTTATGACACGTGCTACCTGGATCAACCTTGAGGACATTATGCTGAGTGAAATAAGCTACGTACACACACACACACACACACACACACACACACACACACGTGCACAACCCCCCCCCAAAAAAACTAAATATATCATTCCTCTTACAGTAGATAGAGTAGTTAAAACCACACACAAAAAATCAAAAATCAAAAATACATAAAATGGGAGTTGCTGGGTGGGGGATTGGTGAGGGAGAAATGTGAGTCAATATCTAATGGGTACAGAATTTCCATTTGGGAAAATTAAAAAGAGGTATGGACATGAATGGTAGAGATAATCACACATTATGAATGTGTTTAATACCACTAACCTGTACAACTAAAAACTGTACCACAATTTAAAAAAACAGTAATTTTTAAAGTGGTTAAATAGCAATTGCATATGCTCCAACATAATATGGAAGGGAGAAGTCCTGCTTGATTTACAGCAGTATCCATCTGCCAGTAGAAACTTGATTGGATTAATTTTTTCTTGACTTCTAAGAAGGCAATTGTATATATATTAGTTGTAGTTGGACACAACACCTTTATTTTACTTATTTACTTTTAGGTGGTGCTGAGGATCTAACCCAGCACTTCACACATTCTAGGCAAGCGCTCTGAGCCACAACCTCAGCCCACCATCTCTGGATTTATTAAATCTGAATCCAAAAGCAAGTCATCAAAATAAACTGTTGAACACTCACCTAGGCATAAAACCAGAGCTCAACAGCAGTGTCCCACATTAGGAGCTGACACATGGAAAGGAGGATACAAAGGTGAGACAACAGAGGCAGGAGGCTGGACAGACTGACCACAGCCTCCAGCCTCAGCCTGGGACATGCCAAGGCTGCTTGGGCTCTCTCCCTTTCCTGAAGCCAATCCAATTAAGCAAGAGGTACCTGAGAGAAAATGGTAGAGTCACTCCTTATGTCCATAGGTTCTGCACCTATCTATTCAACCAGCTGTGGATCAAAAATGTTTTTGGGAAAAAAATTGTCCATGCTGAACATGTGCAGACTTTTTTCCCCTTGTTTTTCCTGAACAACACAGTATGGCTATTTACAGCATTGACATTGCACTGATCATTACAAACCACCTAGAGATGACTTAAAACGTACAGGAGGATGTGTGTAAGTTGTATGCAAATATTAAGCCATTTTACATAAAGGACTGAAGCATTCTTTGATTTTAGTATCTGTGGAGGGCATGGGGTGGGGGGAGGGTGTCCTGGAACAATTCCCTTGTGGATAAAGAAGGATGACTGTACTCCTTGGAACCCAGGTGAAGCACTGGAAAAGGAGACTTCTGGAAAATCTTCTGCCCAGATGTAATGGTCCTTCTATAAAAATTGGGGCAGCTCATAGAATTCCACTCTATTAGCATGAAAATGCCTTTGGCCATGTGATTACCATATCTCATCAATAACTGCTGTCAAGGGCAATTATCTATCATTATCTATGTATTGCCTTACCCTTTTAATTAGGATGCTAATGTGCAGTGTAAATAAAGCCTTCTTTGCTAATTTCAGTTGCGTACAAAGAAAAGTCTTTTTTTCTTTTTCCTCCCCCCTAGGGTTCTGGGGACTGAATTTACTCCGGTTCCTGAAGTGTGGAAAAAGTAAACACAGTTTTGTTTGGATTCCACCCTTCAGTTTCTCCAGACTAAGACACAGCAAAATGCCAGAAAGTGACCCCAAAGAAAATAATTGTTTTGGGGCATGAAAATAATGAACGGCATGAGAATGTTAATGGTAATGAAATGCAAAAGCAACAACAACAACAACAACAAAACCCTAGAGATTGTATAATTAAAGAGATTACAAAGGAAACACTTGACCTATTTTCATGTGCTTTGCATTTCCACAGAAAGGTAAGCAATTTTAAAATTTGTTAAATTTTACCTAAGCAGGTATTCACGCCATTAAAAACAAGGTCTCAGGTGGCAGTCAATATCTCACATGGTTACATCAAATTCTGATACAAGAACTTAATGAAACAATTATGAGAAGTATAAAAATACACATTTAAAAAAAATCTCCAGGCACAGTGACACATACCTGAAATCTCAGCGACTTGAGAGTTTGACGCAGCAGGATCAGAAATTCAAGGCCAGCCTGGGCAACTTAGAGAGATCCTGCCTGAAAATAAAATAAAAAGTGCTGGGGATGTAGTTCAGTGGTAGAGAGTTTGCCTAGCATGTACTAGGTTTGATCCCTGGTACCACTGAATGAATGAATGAATTGACTAATTAAATAAATCATCTACCTAAGTGACCTTAGTATTTCTTTGCGGTCCTGAATGATCCTTGCTTGCAGAGTAGACTAATTAGTGAGAATTTACTTACCTCCAGAGAATGTACTAATAGCTCCTCAGGGTACCGGTGTCTCACTGGACATAGCCAGCTCATCTCTAGCAACAGTACATGGCATAGTGGATCAGCACTGATGGACCCACCAATGGGATGGCATGGACCATTTGACCCAGAGCTAACACACTCTGATGGCTTCTCCCTGGGACATGGCCTAAGTCTTGAGCTAAGGGGCAACACAAGGCATGACAGTGCCCTGAGTTGACCTCAACTAATGCTGACTACCTAACAGTCAGGAGCAGACCAGCTTCTGCCCTTCCTGAACCCAGATGTTCAGATTTCCCTTTGAGTCTGTCAGCTGCCCAAATCTTTCCATTGAAATCTGGTCCTGGTGTAGGTTGTCAGAATTCATTTCTTCTAATTGTAACTGAAAAAAAATCCTGAGGGACACAGCTCCATAGCAGTGTGTGTGCTTGTGTGTTTTCAGCCTGGAGAATTATCAGTACACGTGTACACCATGTTACAGTGGACACCTATTGGATTGTCAGTCTGATCCTTCTAAATTGATGGTGGGTGCTGGAGGAGAGGCAGGAAGGGATAGCTGTTTCTACTTGAGCCTGTCTGCCTGCCTGGAGGCTGCAGATTGGCCCATGGGTGAACAGCTGATCTAACCCAGGCCAATCTGAATTTTTTCTCCTAGGCTTTTGGAAGGGGAGTAGGGCAAGAGGAGTGGTAGAGGAAGACAGGAGGAGGGAGAATGGCTGAGAAAAAGGAAGAGGGAGTCAGTTTTCTCCACGTGGCTTACACAGTGGACTCAAAAGCAGAGCAAAGCAGATTGCCAAGAAAGAAGGAAGGGCCTGGTCAGAGAGAAGCCCAGGAAGAGGCAGCAGGAAGGTGCTCTGGGCCCTGTGCCAGCCCCTGGCAGCAGCCCTCTTTGAAGCCTGCCTGCAAGTGTGTCTGGATTCTGTGGGACACCCTGGATCCTTATAATGTGATTCCACTTGTAACCAGCTCAAGTGGGTTTCTGTATTTGCAATGCAGAATGCTAACTGGATCAAACAAAAGTTCCAAGTGCTGTGGGAACCCAGCCCAGAGAATGACCAACTCTCTAGTTGTGAGAAGGGGTCTTTTAAGGATGCCCAGATGAGGTGGTGTTTCATTTCTCTTTTGTTTAGGACGTCTGCCCTCCTTTCCTTACACACTATAGCGCCGTGTCTGGGGTCTTGCATATTATGCTGTACTGCTCCAAACTTAGCATTGAAACCTGTGAGATTAGTTTAATTCTATTTATAATAGAAAGCAGCTATGTGAATGTAGGTATCTGTTTTTATATTTAGGGTAACTATTCCCAAGATCCTTACAAAATTAGGATTCCAATGTTGGCATATTTCCCTTGGGATTCCACATGGTACTGCATATAATCACTTCCATTTGTATGTTCCATGAATACAGAGCAGATTTCCACCATAGATTAGGATTGCAAGCCATCAGACATTGATGCTGTCCTCCACAGGAACACCAGCAATGGTCACATTTCATGAGTTTTACCCAACCTTTTCCTGTCATGGTCGGCACATCTAAGAATTCTTTGGTCCCATCTAAATCCTCGTTAATGCCATTCAATAAGAGCTAACTGGAGGGTGGTGTTTCTACCTGCCTTTTCCTCAAGAGAATACCATCGTTGGTGGTTTGCCAGTGGCTTACCTGATTTGAAAATTTGGGAAGATAAACTGGGTATGTTTGTTTGGCTTCTTGCTTTCAGCTTCATTCTCTTGAACAAAATCTGCTGGAGGGTTTAGTCTGTAGGCCTGAGCGTGGGTAGGGCTGGAACCTGGAATTCAGTCTGCAGGCTCCAAGTGGCTCTTTTCATCAAATTGCATTCTCAGTGGTGCCTCTCTCAATGGAAAAGGTGACATTTTGGCCTCCATCTTCAACCTCTGTTTCTCACCCTGTTGAGAACTTAGGTTGGGAAAAAAGATGCAGTTTATTGGTGACCCAACAACTGCTCCTCCCTTTTTGCTGTCCTATGTTCAGCACATTTAGTTGGTTCCCTGTGCTGATCAGGGAAAATCTCCTTTGCTACATTCAATAGATGCTGTTATAAGCCCTCCATCTGTAACAGGTTTAAATGCCCTGGCATCAAATTCCTAACTACATTATTGCAACAACTTCATTTTATTCAGGTACAAAAACAAACTCTATTCTCATTTTCAGTTTGGTAATGTTTTCATCCTGTATTGTTTCATTTATCCTAGTTCTTCATTTGATTTTCGAAGAGAATATGTGGCCTTTAAAGTCAGTCATTCTTTACATAACAAACACAGAACAATATTCTTAATTTCTATAGAGAAATAGGATTTCTTTAAATTTTTTGTCTAAACTTTTTTCTACATTAATGATAAAGACGTGGGTGTGGGAAAAAAATGTTAGAAAAACAGTAGAAGATTGATGATTAATGAGAACTGCCACCCAGCCTGAGGATGGTAGAGATGCAAAGTTTGGCAGAAACTCAACAAATAAGGGACACCTTTGCTTAGGGCCATTTTTGCCATTAGGGCCCTGTGTTGCCAGATCATTTAATTTTTTTTTTTAAGAAGATGAAATCAATTTTCATGGGAAATTTTACTTTAAAAATACTGTCTTCGGTTTTTTGTTTTGTTTTGTTTTAATCACTGAGCATATCAACAAAATACATTCTTGGACTGAATTCCTCCCATCCCCCATCCCCCAAGGGCTGCCAGTTTGCCTATCATCAGAAACAACCAAGAGTTTCTAAGGTTGTTTGGGGGAAGTGGCTGCCTATATCATGAAATCTGTGTCAGGGAGGGTCTAGGCCCCTCTTAGGGGACAGGCAGTCTTCCCTTCAAGGGACTGAGTTGCCTGCAGCGGGGAGCGCAAGGGTGGGGAGGCTAGATAGATCCTGGCTAAGGACTCATTTTGCATTTGCCTGGGACAACCCAGATAGCTGGTGACTCACCAGTGCTTTCTCCCAGATTCTAAGCCTGCAAATTCCTAAGACCTTTCTTTCCCTTCACTTTTGTTTACCTTCTAATTTACCCATTCTCTTGGCTTCTATATATTTTATTTTCACAAATCCTTTTAATAAGTTGTATTCAACACAGGTTTGTTTCTGTTTTCTCTTTAACTTTGAAAACTATATATATTCAGCAGGCAGCCTTCAAAAGTTCCCCTTGATCCAGCCTTCCTGGTGTAATTCTCTGTCACTTGAACAAATATTGATCTGCAATTGGTTTTTCCAATAGCTGACTTAAGGAGCAAGACCTGAGAGCATCTCTAATATCTAACATCTCAATAGGAGCCAGAAGGAGCTATATATAAGTGGCTCAGAGATTGTCAAGATACTCTCTGATGGTTTATGGCAATTGACCACAAGAACCAGGAAGGACACCTGCATTAAGCAATGTCATAGGGCTCTCTTCCTGGCAAATTAACAGCTTAGAACCTGGAAATCTTCAACAAGGAGATCATCCATGGCTTCAGAAGCCCTCCTGCACATGCTTTCTACCCCACACCTGAACTCATGATAGTCCCCATCTACCGGGCTGGAACATTTAACTCATCTCCTGCTAAAAACATAGTGAAAAACGTACTGAGCTCTGCTTCTTCTTTTTTCTTAATATTATTTTTTAGTTGTAGTTGGACACAATACCTTTATTTTATTTATTTATATATGGTGCTGAGGTTCGAACCCGGGGCCTCACACATGCTAGGCTGAGCCACAACCCCAGCCCCTGAGCTCTGCTTCTTAATTAGGCAATACCACAGAGGTTCCAAACCTTCGCAGTCTGAGAAAGTCATGGAGCACAGAACCCTGAGAAAGGTCAAAGCTTTGTGCGAGGATCACCTAGGAAGAATTGACACCACTTCATGCAGGGGAGGGACTGACTGTGCCAAGACCAGGGAAGACAGTAGAAACAAATCTTCCTCATCAGTGAATTCTACAGATGACTGCCTTAGATTTTACTAAATCTCACTGCTCCCATTGGGTTTTACTAATTCATATGGCTTGGCTTGATATTCTACATCCATGGTCCAGTTTCAGTATCTCTTTTTGACCCATTTAATTTTAAGACCCTCCAAATAAACTTACAGGCATTTTTTGTTTGTTTGTTTGTTTTTTACTCAACTCCTAATTTTCATTCATAGTTTATGACTCTGCTCCTATGGGGTTTGGGGGTCCCAGGGCTTGAACAAATAAAGCTGTCTTGGTGTGTAGCCTCAGACTCCATACCAGACCATATCAGGCCACTTCCAACAGTATTGGGAATGGAATCAGATAATGGAGGTTATTTGAATGAAGAAGGTCTTAATTGGTAGATTAGGTACTGAGGAATTATTGGAGGTTTTCAAATAGGAAAGGGGCTATCTCATAATTCTGAGTTATTTGAATATATTTTTCCAGGTTGAGACTCTTTCAAGATGTTGAGGCAGCAACAATAAGTATGCCTTACTAAAAATCTCAGAGGGAACGTTCCATTCTATAAGCCCCAGCTGTGGTCTTTGGGTTCTCATTTTGGTATTTTCTCTTAAGTCAACGTCATCTTTTCTCAGTTTATTTATAGTTCATTTAGGCCATCAAAGCAATAATAATAATTTCCCCAACAGAGAGAGGCTCTGATGATCAATGGGATTCATAAAAACATTTTCAGACAAGAATGGAAATGAGCCTCCTTTGTGGAAGCACATGCCTGGAATTCCAGCAACTTGGGCAGCTGAGGCAGGATAGGTTTTGAAAAAAAGGCAGATAGAGGTTTGAATTGTGGCTCCACTGCTTCTGTTATGTAACATGAAGGACAAATTTATCACCTGTACCATGAAGCTGTTAATACTGTGAATTCACTGTTGATTTTTTAAAACCAAATGCCAGTCTCTCACTTGCTTAAGATAATCTACTTTGTCCAAATATTGAATGAATATTCCTTAACCACATGGAAGGCAGATCCAGCTCTTGATCTACACTGGCCAGATGACCTAGCTCTGACCAGTGAAATACAAGAGGAAGTCTGATGGGTCTTCTGGGAAATATTTTCATCCCTGCAGTGGGCAAGTGCCCTGTCTACCTTCTTTAGGCCTTTCAACTTGATTATGGAATGACATGAAACTTTTTATCATGTGTGGTAGCAAGTGAAGATTCTGACTCAGATCTCTGAGTTATGGGGTTACTACTGACCTAATGTCATGAATACAATCCTTCTGTACCAGTCCCTAGATATCCCATTAAAGGATTGAATGAGGAAGCAAGTTCAACTGGAACTCAGCAGAGGTACATAGGTGCTTATAGCACTTTATTTATTTGCTCAATATCACTGACTAAGCTGTTTAATTTGATGTCTCTCTCAACAGTACCCCAACCATGGAATATGGAAGAGAGTCTGTGATTCAGAATCTAGAGTGGGTGATGGTCAAAAACCTAACACTACACAAGTGAAATCACTGTTGATTTTTAATCAACAGTGCAATGACAAGTGTGGCAAGTCTTTTAAGAGGAGGAACATTGTGCTACATGAATAAATAATGGAGAAATATGTCTTCCCAGTATACCTTCCCTTAATATGGGAGAGCTGAAGAGCCCTCCCTGAGGGAGAGACGATTGAGCATTGAGCCATGGGGAAATTGGGAGTTACTTAGATGAGGGAGGAAGCAAGAGTGTTGAGATTTATCTGCCAATACAAAGACCCCAGGCAAGAGAGAACCTGATATGTTTGTAAATTGTTCTGTAATATCTTAGACTAATTTTATTTTGATTAAAAGTGAATATAAATACATATACAGGTATATACATATATATATATATATATATATATATATATATATATATATATACAAGTCTAAAATATATTTGTGGGTAAAACTATTTAGTTTTAGTCAAATAATTTACATTGAGTAATGGTAGTGAAAATAACAATGATATTATCAAAATACAACAATCCATGTCTGGTTCCTTCCCATTTTCTAGTTCTAAGAGATAATCCTTTTTCATTACTTTAGCTTTCTTTAAAAAATTCTAGCATTTACTTCTATATTTCCAAATAATTAGCTGATGGGCTAACCTAGAATGTATTTCCAATTTTTCCTTTCTTGCCTGCCTCCACCTCAGGGCTTGGGAAAGCCAGCCATGCTTCACATGGTGTCACTGTGTGCCCTGGTTCTGGCCAATGAGACATCAGATGAGAGTCTGTTGAGGCTTCTAATGTCACTGCTGTCATCACTGTCCTGATGAATGGCATAGTTGGGGCCAGGACACCCCTCCCTCTTCCCTGCTGCTGGAAACAGTGGCTAGAGTTGAAGCCACCTTCTCGTGCCTACAGAGAAGAGGCCAGCACAATCTCCAAGGTGCCAGGTCAACATCACTGAGCATCAGAACCAAAGCTAGTGCTGCTAACTTTCAGGCCTTCACTGTTAAATGAGAAAAACTGAATGTATTTTTCTAGATCTTCATCTGCAATGTTGAGCAAATAAATAAATGCTATAAGAACTTATGGAACATCTGCAGTATTCCAGGTGAACTGGCTTCCTCATTCAAGCGTCTGAGATGGGTAAGCAGAACGGTTAGGATGCTCAGAGCAGCCAGCTGGTAGGGGCCCAGCATGGCTAGCTTTTAATTGATGAGTTTTAGGCAACAAGTGACTTCCTGTTGTTCTAAGGATGATTTAACTTTCTTCCACAACCCTCCCCTTCCTTCCCACCCGCACATCACCAGTAGCTTCCTCCTTCTACCTTCCCGACTGAGTTTTAATGGAATTCCATCATTATGATCTCTGCATATTATTATGTACTAAGTAATATGATGACATTTCCATTCTTATACAATCCACTCCCCCCCACCTACCTGGAGCTACATATTTGCTTAGTTTTCTCTGAATCTATTATTTAAGAATTTTTCAATATAATTTTCCATATGTTAAATTTATCAGTGGGATTCTCTCTTTCATCCCCCC